TTAATAATAAATAACAAAGTTTATATGGATCGGAATTCTTTATTGTGTAATCTTAACTTTAACCCGACTGACAACTTTTTGGTAATAAGCACTAATGATATTACAGAAAATCTTAGACATATTGATCCCCAACTTGATAAAGTTCTACATCAGACAAAGTTTTCAGTGTTTGATATTCAGTCATTATTGCCAATATGTTATTTAGAAAAGACAATTAAAGAGTCTGACCTTACGTTTTTTCGACCCAGTGATTCTTGTCTTAAAAGTGGCAACAGTAATATAACAAACTACCATACAAGTGAATTTGATAAATCATCTGTGTTTATTTATAAACGCCATATCGGGAGCTATATTGTCGTTTTTTATTCTAATGAATGCTGGTATTTTGTTTTACACAAAAATGTTTACGAATTAAATTCAGATACTCATCCGATACTTTATGAACATATTGGAAAACATATTGCATTATTTAATAAAAATCTATGTTACCACATAGTTTTAGTTGATTCGAGAATTAGAAAGCTTATTACACCGTTCTATGAAACAAATTATGTGGTTCTTGTTAAATTAACAGAAAAATACACTTTAAAATTAAAAGAGCATGAACAGACTAATGCCGGCGAATTAGAAAATGTCGGTCAAAATATTTTTGTTAAAGATAAAAGGATTTATATGTCGTGTTTAGACGAACTCCAAGTTAGATTGGAAGAACTTGATTTTGTAAACACAAAATCAAAACGGCTTATCAATAGGGGATTTATTGCAAAAATAAAAGTAAACGAAATTGAAACTGTTAACATTGCATATGACACCCAAACATATAAACGTCTTATGAGTATTGTTCCGGTTGGAATGAGTATTCATGAAGTCCATTTACATCTCTATCAGCAAGATAAACTAAATTATTTTTTGCAATTTTTTACAGACTCGTCAGCAAATGTGGTAAAACGCATCAACACATCTATGAGTACAATGAGTCGTGAAATTCTTGATATTTATCATATGACACGAAAAAAAAAGAACAGTGATCTATATAACATATTACCTCATTCATACAGACAAATTTTATATCAACTTCATTCCGATTATATTTCCCGAAAAAATATAAATGATAAATCTTTGGACGATGACGATAAGTTCGATAATATCGCAAATGATGAATTAGGTGAATGGAAAGTTTCAATATCTGTTGACAATGTTTATACAAAACTAAAAGATTCAGACATGTCTATTCTTGTGGAGTTATACAAAGACAGAGACATTCTTGTCAAAAACATTGAGACAACGTGTATGACAAATCCTATTAAATCATGTATAAATACAAAAATTCAGTCAAAACTATTAAGTATGAAAACTCATATTTAGCCCAGTAGCCAATACCAAAATGCCTAAAACAGCGTTAACAATAAACAAAACAATTAAACCATTTTTTAATAAAATGACTGTAAATTGGTAAAATAATTAGTGTCAATGACCTATTTATTAAAAACATTATATTATATTATATTAAATAAAAAAACTTGACTTGTAAAACCAAAATTAAAAACCACTATTTAATCGTCCGATTTACGAAATAACCACCGATTAATATCACTTCCGATGCAAGTAAGAACATACTTCCCACTTTCATTTGGCATGGTTACGAAATTAAAATCAATTTTATCACCAACCTTAAGGTCAATCTTGAAATCCGGTATAAGGAATCTTAACTTATCCGATATATTTACGGTTTCCTTACCGCCAATGTTACGAACTCCATAATAATTATTATAAAAATCGGACTCAAATGACTTCAAGATTTCGAAAGTTATGTTTAATTTCGCGACGGGCGGTGGTTTTGGACATTTTTTATGAATCATCCAATATTTACTGGCACTACCAGCATTTCTAATTAAATATGGCCCACTTTTATCTTTATCTGATTCTTTGCCAAAATTAATCTGAACATGGTCACCCTTTTTAAAAGAACCACCTGTCAAAATATAGCTATCCAGATCCGAGCAATGGGTTTTCACAAAATCCATAAAACTCTCACAATTTATTACTAGATCAGTGTCTAAACCACCTGGACCGTAAATATAATATTCACAATCTACTGCGTCATAATACCATTTACATAACGACAAAACATTGTCAGAAAAATTTATTGTGGCTTTAATATCAAATTCCGACATTCTTTATTGTGAATTCTTGGAAACGTGGTAGCTAATATATAAATAGGGCATTTACAATCATTGTAAAAGTTGAATTTTTTAATAAACATAAACAAATGCGGTATGTCTTTTACAAAATTGCTTAAAATAGGAACCGTAATTATATTAGCTACCGTGCAAAAATGTTAGTAAAACAGTGGATTACACATCACGTGTGGGGGACCGAAGATAAAGATCAAGAAAACGCAAATATTTATCATTGACATTGTTTTTGTTTATATTTACTATTAATACTTATTGTATTTTTGACAAATTACAATGACATAATTTTAATATTGAAATAAAAATAAATGTTTCTTCATAAAAATTTGTTTTACAGTGGCAATAATAAAAAATAAAAAGTTGTTACATTTTAGATAAATTAAATAAAAAATAACGTGTACCGACAATGCGACTCATAATGTATCAATTATCCACTCCATAATGTGTTTTTTGGCATTCCATTCTTTTGCGTTCAACAATATAATAATTTATGTAATAATAATTTGCCAATATAATATAATGTAAAACATAAAACATTTATAAAATAAACTAGCAAAAAAAGTTAATTCGCCCATGTTATGTTATTTTATTCTACTTTTTTTTATTAGATGTGTTTTTTGTTTTATTATTTTTAACGGGCAAATGTTTTGATGAACTTATTGGTCTTTCAATTTTACCGAACTCATTTTCAAATTTATCAATTTTTGCAACAAGATTATCAAACGATTCAAGAATTGCATTTAAAAGTTTTTCTTTTTTATAGGCCACAACATCCAAAACAATTTTTTTTATCAAAAGATTTTTTTTCGAGTTTGATGATTTATGGATGTCAGGGTGTGACTGAAGTTCGTAATTAATGGCTTCACCCATTGTATGATCTTCATCAACAATCTCAATTTTAAATCTTTCTAGGGGTTTTTTTTCCAAAAGAAACATTCTGTGTATTTCGTCTTTTAGGAGTTTTGTTCGGGTTCTGTAGTATTCAATGGCACGATCAATAAGAACAAATTCATCGAACTGTGATGCGGATTGAAACTTTGCGATTGTCACACCCGGTACTGTTTCTTGATCAAAACAAAAATTACTACATGCGTCCCATGATGTGTGATTGGCACCAACACCCAAAACCGCTCTCAAGCTGCATTTAAAAGCCTCTTTTGGCTTGAGACTTATAATTAAAAGTGGATATTCACTGTCATACTTTTTAGCAGGTTCACCATCAATATACATTTTTATATGATTTGTTGTAACATCTAATATTTCACCATCACCTTCATGAGCGTCATTTTTTGAATCAATATATACTTCGATTCGTTTTTCATTATCGTGAATTGGACGTTCGGGGTTCCGATAGTCAATCCCTTTCCAATACTTTTCATGAAGAATCGCAAAACCAGGATCGATATTCATAACTGGGGTGTTTTCAAGACGTAGTCTCATCATATCGTGGTTAAAAGCAATTGAGTCATGAAATCCCGAATCAGGATTTATTGTTTCGATTTTAATTAATTCTTTTGCGTAGGCATACATTGGGAGCCGCTCAACGGCAATACGACCGAGTCCATTTATAAACTGGTCGTTGCAGTCTTTTCCCCAACAATCCAATTCAAGCTGACCACGCCTTATTGAATCATGAGGCCTGTATTGACGAAGACTAACGTTCAAATCTATTTCGGGCATATAATAATGTACTATTTATATAATTCACAATAATCTTTATGATATTATTTTCAATATTTTTTATTTATTTAATGTCGATTTTCCTTTTCACATAAATATCATATAAATAAATATATTTTACATAAATATAATATTGATGTTTATTAGACTTTTTTATTCGAATAGATCGGAAGAATGCATGAATCTTTGGCAAGTAATTAATAACGAGGGTATAATTAGGATGTTTATTCCTGTTTGTGTTGATAAGTTTACTTCCAAACAGTGTGAACAATTGAGTATAAAAGAGGTTCCCGCTATTGTTGTAAGCGTTGAGAACCAACGTCCGGTAGTTTATGAAGGACCTATTGAATGTTCAAAATGGTTAACAAGTTTTACTTTAAACCGAAGAAAAAACTTGGCAGCAATGGTTGACCAACATCGCCGACTTATTCAAAAGTCCCATATTGAAGCCAGAACAAGAGATGGTGGGCCGATCGAGTTTACCGAAGCAGAAATGGACGGTATATCTGATGGATATTCCTATAACACAGATCTTGATATCAGTCAACCTAAAAATTTTGTTTTGGTCGGCAATGAGGAATCTTATTTTATTAAAACACCCCAACTAAACGAAGGTAAGGTTGATACAGAAACTTTAAAACGCCAACTTGCGGAACTAGAAACATCAAGAAAAGCAGACACCGAAATTTTTATGAAATCAATGGAAAGCAATCAAATTAGAGCAGTGATCGGGTACGGCAATTAGTTGTATTAGTACTAAATAAAATGCCAATAAAACTATTAATAACATAAATTAACACGAAAATAATAAAAAAATAATATATGGTGGTGCTTTTGCTTTTTTAGTGTCGTCACAGTTTTGACTTTTATATTGACGAAATGTATTCGCGTTATAAAAAAAATACCGTAAGCACAATATTTGGTCAATTTACATCTGTTTTTTTACCGATTTGTAATTATTTTATTAAAAAAAATAGTTTAATTTAATTTGCCCTTTATTTATTGTTATTGTATATGTTGTTTATTGGTCAATGACATAGCTTGTGCCATATCGCTCGAAACAATCAATAAAACCGGTCAATACCTCCCTTGAATCGACATCGGGATATGATGGGGTGCCGGACTTTAACATTCGATCTTAAACATTTGATCTTTGACATCGGAATATGATGAGGTGTGTCCGAACATTAATCTGGATTTATTAAGATATTCCATTAGATCCTGCTCAATTTTAACTAGATCCTCATCAATCATTGTAGATACTAAAATTTCTTGTACATCAATTTCTTGTACATCAATTTCTTGTACATCAATTTCTTGTACATCAATTTCTTGTACATCAATTTCTTGTACATCAATTTCTTGTACATCAATTTCTTGTACATCAATTTCTTGTACATCAATTTCTTGTACATCTTTTTCTTGTACATCTTTTTCTTGTACATCAATTTCTTGTACATCAATTTCTTGTACATCTTTTTCTTGTACATCAATTTCTTGTACATCAATTTCTTGTACATCTTTTTCTTGTACATCTTTTTCTTGTACATCTTTTTCTTGTACATCAATTTCTTGTACATCTTTTTCTTGTACATCTTTTTCTTGTACATTTTCTTGTACAACTTTATTAAGAGACATTGCGTATTAATAAAATGTGTCGTAAAGTCAACAAAGTTATTTATTATTGTAGAATTAGTACACCTTCTGTATATTGAAATGTTCATTTTTTTTACTAATTACGTTCTTATTAAAATGGGGCGGATAATTGTGAAATCACCGTTAGGAAGATCAATAAATTGTAAACATATTTGGTCAGTTTACGTGTGTTTTTTTACCGATCTGTCAACATTTTTATTAAGATAAGAGCTGATAACCTCATTATTTGCATTCGTGGACCTGTTTATCTTATTAGTACCATGTTATTTTTCTTTTTTATAATAAAAAGGCTATATTGTGTTCAATTAATATAAAAGTTAACACGGTTACAATATTTTATCGCGATAATTGTTATTTTATCAATAATGTTTAATAAAAGCGATATCAATAGTTATATTGGTATATTTATTAAAATAAAAAAACCACACAGTGTAGGTAAAATGGTCGTAACATCAATAAAACATGCGGATTGTTAATTGTCAAAACCCAAAGGCAACAATATGGATAAGTTTGATTTATATGACCCTTTTACAAATTCGGCAAAGTACTTACTATAATGAAAACAACGGACATGGTGTGCTGTGCCGTATTAATGATTAACGGCTCTGATTGAAGAGTCAGTCGGTTGGCAATAGGTTTGTTGGTTCGGTTGGGATTGAAAAACATTCCTATGTTCCGATAGATTGTTGTCAAGAAATTGGCAGAAAGTTTGGGTTTGTACATTTGTTAAGTTCGGAAGCAAACGAGTTAAACACAAACCCTAACGATAAAAAAACGGACTAATTGGTCTAATATGACTACTTATCTGTCAGGTATAACTATAATTGGAAGTACTTTACAACAACGATTTAAGTTAATAGAGCCAAAATAAAAACAGGCTCGTTTATAAATAATTGTGCAAGAATTGTTCCTAAAAGACCGTCAACACAGTTTAGCATACCATTACATACTTGCTACATATCTTTACTAATGTCATCATTGTTTTTTTAATAAATGTTTTTGTTTCATTGTCAATTTGAGTCCACAATTCTTTAAATTCGAATAGCTGTGTTACTTTTTCATTATCGGCGCGATCAAGCTTATTCGAATTGTTGTCTATTTTATCAATAAAAAAATTATCGTTTTGTTTGAGAATGTTGGTTCTATAGCTATCGTTCATATATACATTAAGAAGAAAGTACGCAATCGGTTCATCAGGAGTTTCGATAATTAGATTAGTTAAAATTAGTTTGAGTTTGGCTATATTTGAGTCACAATAATACTCTGTTATATGGTCAATCATGTTTATTACAACATAATTAAACTTGTTTACCAAATCGTCTTGTTCTTCTTTGTTTGCCATTTTATTTTATTTTATTTTGTTTTTATTTCTTTACATTTAATATGTTTTTATAAAACGCAAAATCGCTATTATATCACCTTAAAAAAAGTGCGAAACACAAATATATGAGTTAAAGTTAGAACTATTTATTTAGTTATTAAAATACAAATGAGCATCGAGAACGAAAACAGGGAAACAATTATCCAGATCCAGCGGTTTACCGCAAGTAGTGTTAGTATGTTGGAACTTTTAAGAACAGCATGTATTAGAACAAACGACGCGGACACAGAACTGTCAGAAAGAATTATAAAAGGAAAAGATCGTTTTATGTCGTCGTCACAAACATTTATCGAGCAGTTAAAAGATCCAGAAACAAGCTTTGACTATACACGCTTTATTCGGAAAGCTTTTGGAACTCTAAAAACAATTGATCATTGTAATATGCTTATAAACAAAAATCGCGAACTTTTTGAGGCACGTGACAGCGATAAAAAGATCATGACTATTCTTCCGGGTCTTGATCTTAAAGTAGGATATAGTTTTTTAAACACGGACGAAACCATTGTATTTTGGCAATACATGTTTTTGTTTTCAAGTGCGGTTTTTCGATTAATTGAAGCATCGAATGAGGCGGTATTTAAAAATAAGTATGCACATGTGGCTAATGCATTAGAAACAATCGAGGCGGAAATTGCAAAAACAGGAATAATGTTTAATAACCAGATTTTTAATCCCTTTATAGGAATCGGTGAAAATAATGTTGAATATGGAGTCAATGAGATGTTTACAGGAAACGAATTACCAAACCAACAAAATGTGTCAATCGAATCTGTTTTGTCGGGATTGGGTATTGATAAGATGTTTGATGAGCAAAAACTCCAAGACGAACTTAAAAATTTTAACGAACATCATGCGGCAGAGGCCACTGATCGTATTGTAAATCTGCTCGGTGCAGGTAATAATCCTGAAGTAAGAGAAGTCTGCAACGTTCTCATTAAAGACATTGTGTCTAACTTTAAAACAAATGGCATTACAAATGTTGGAGACACTTTAATGAAAGTTGCCGAAAATGCAAGAAAAGCAATCGATGAAAAAAAAATGCAACAGACTGCCGAATGTATGAAGTACTTCATGGCTAATAGTCAAGAAACACTGAAAGACATGAAAGATGCCAATGGTAATCCAGTTGGTCAACAACTCATGAACAGCATGGCGGTACCTCTTAGTATGATGAACTTATTGTCTAATCAAAATACGGACAATATAAAAAATGAATAAAATAAATTCCGATTCTTTGGCAAAATGTTTTTGTTTTAGATTTTTTTAAATAACGTTTATTAACTGTGTTGTGTAAGAGCGACATATAATACTTTATAATGCTATGCTATAGGGACATATTACAACACAATACAAATGAGTAAACAAAACATATTTGAAGTTAATAATTTAGTTGATCTAAAGGCAATATTTGGATCATGTGTTACAGTTGTGGCAGGTTTTACTGTTCCCGACACAAATCATGACATGAAAGTATTTATTAGAAAATTTTTAAAAAGAAAGGCCGAAAAGTTTCCACTTATTACATTTGTTTATATGGAAGTTACGGATCAAGATCGCGATACTCTTAATATTTTAAAAGGTCCATTTGAAGAATATCCTAAAATGTTCCACATTAGAGACGGGAACCAATTTCTTGTAATTGTCAACTCAGCAACAAAAGAAACTATTGTGGAAAGTTTTAATAAAGTCGAAAATTACTATATAGACGAAATGAAAGCGTTTCGTCAAAAAATACAGAAAAAAAACACAAATACCCCAAATGAAATTAATGACGCTGGTACTGCTGTTGGTGCGGCGGAAGTTGCCAATATTAATCAACTTGACCCGGTTCTCGAAAAAAAGAAGAATCTCGAAAAACTCGTTTTACTTAATGAAAAAAGTGACAATATTAAGCTTGAGATTCTAAAAGAAATTACAAAAAGGAAAAAAATGGAATCTGTTATCGAAAAGAAAAAAATGGCCGAAAATAATGAATGCAAATCATACAGAAAAAATTTGAGAAAAACAGCAAGAAAATAACACCGATAATTTTTAAATTATTATGACACGTGTATCTATATATGAGTAATATAGATAACGACTCATCGCAAAACATATTTAATAATAATAAACAAGAAATTATCTCTCCAGAACGATATGTTTTTTGGATGAATGACATTACCGTATTGATTCAAAACGGTAACTACATAAAATTTGTCCCAACGGCAGAAATGACAAGGGTTGAACAAATGAACGCCATAACCAGATTTTGTATTTATTTTATTGTCATACTATTTATGTTTGATAAAATTGACGAACTTATTTATGTACCTATTATTTTAATAACACTAATTATTGTTTTTTATAATATATTTGAAATCGATAAAAAAGGCAAACAATATGAACTTCTTAGAATGAAAAAAAGAAAAGAAAATATGAAAAACATCAATACTGAACTATATAATAGAACATACCAGATCGATGACGATGGTGATGTAGTCACTATCGATATTGATCAAGAGGAAAAGCAAAAATACAAAGATGATAATGTAAATGAAGCCGATTCGTTATTATCAAATGCTAAATATGATTTAGAAGCCGGATATTACGACTCAAACGGAAAATTACATACCGGGGAATTACATAACCCGACTCAATCACTTAAAAAGTTTGAAAAAAAAAGGGACATAAAATACTCACTAGATGAAATGAGGCATTATCAAAAAGCGAAATGCAGAAAACCCACAGTTGATAATCCATTTATGAATCCGAGTATTGTAGATTTCAATAATGACGACGTTTTCGTCGCATGTAATTCTGATGACGAAGATATTAAAAAAAACATCGATCTAAAATTTAACGAGGATCTCTATAGAGATATTGACGATCTATTTGACAAAAAAAATTCACAAAGACAGTTTTATACAATTCCGCATAATATCCCAAATGACCAAGAAGCTTTTGCCAAATGGTGTTACAAATTCCCCACAACGTGTAAAACAAATCAAGAAAGGTGTCTAAGATACGAAGATATAAGACTAAAATATTAGTGTTAAATAACATATGTTTGGTTATTTGGTTATTGGAAAGGAAGACACAATATGGGAAGGGGGAAGCGAAAGATTAAGAAAATATAAACATTATTAATAAGTTGCACCAGTTTTTTTATTTGGTTTACTATTAATACTTTTTATATTTTTGGCAAATTATATTGATTTAATTGACATAAATATGTAAAAAAATATTTCATTTTAGATAAATTAAATAAAAAAAGAACGCACTGACAATACGGTTTATCCCGTCTTGATCACATTACCCACCCCTAAATGTGTTGACATGATATGATATGATATGATATGATATGATATGATATGATATGATATGATATGATATGATATGATATGATATGATATGATATGATATGATATGATATGATATGATATGATATGATATGATATGATATGATATGATATGATATGATATGATATGATATGATATGATATGATATGATATGATATGATATGATATGATATGATATGATATGATATGATATGATATGATATGATATGATATGATATGATATGATATGATATGATATGATATGATATGACATGTTATGTTA